TCAAGCACGTGTGCTTGAAAATTACATAACCGCAAACATCACACCACAGCGTTTGCGCTACCTCATCTATAAACAATTTCATCTCAGGCGGTGTACAAGGGTCGCCGTTACAGGGTGGGCCGACCCGTCTGCCGGGACCCGCCATTTCTCTGACAGCTCTGACCAGACAGCGTGACACTGGCCAGTTAACTGTGACATAAAAACGCCGCTCTCACACGCGCGCCCAGCGTCGCGCGCTGTCGAGACTGAGGCCACATTACGTTTACTTTGAAAACAAGTCTGCTGGTCACAGCCACACTCCCACTCTGGGGAGGAATTCAATGTCTAGAAGCTAAAAAGTAAGAGCATGAAGGCTACTAGTCTTGGGCGTTCTGTTAACTGTACCACAGTTATGATTTGGCGAGGGATTTTAATGCAACAAAGTCGCCACTCGCCACCAGTTACAGCCGCAAAGATGCAAAAAGAAAGTAGATCACCAAACCAAACAAATAATTCCATTCTCCCTTTGCGTCGGCGCCGCCCATGCATATCGATTGACCCCGGGCCGGGCCGGTTTGTTTGTTTGTTTATTGGGGCTTTAGGGCGCGTCGACTGCAAAGGTCATTTTGCGCCCATCCGGGCCGGGCCGGGTCGGGTCGGCGGCCGACGGTTGGTAACCGGTTCGATCCGGTGCCGGTTCGTCGGTGCGCGCCCGGACCGGGAGCCCTGCCAGCCACGCGGCCGACACGCGTCGGAATCGACGGACCGGCCCGCGCGCTGTCCGGAAACTGACGACACGGCGCACCTCCGGCCGCTGGTAACGAGGAAACGCCGCAGTACGCCACCAGATTCAATTCGAGGCTTGATTGGGCCACGGCGACTGGGCGTAGATTTGTGTCCGGCGACAGCGCAGGAGCCAGGACAAATGGGCGAGCCAAGTGTCCCTAACCAATGGCAGCAATTCTAATTGCAGGACCAGGGTCAACTGGATGACAAATTGCTTGTTATCGAAGGCATTCGAGGACCGTTAGTTTAAAAGGTTAGGCTGAGCTCATCGACCCCAACACGTAGGCTTGCACTAAAGCGGTCGTGCAGTGCCCTGGCTAATTCATCATTCAGAAAACAAATAGCGGGCGGCACTGTGCCATTAAAGGCTGAAGGGGAATTTATTTAGAGAAGCGGTGAGCAAACATGGCTTTTAAATACCTGTCGCCTGGCGATCGCAACTGTGCAATGTATAAGTGATGTGTTTCGCTCTCCAAATTACATGAACGAAGTGTCGTAACAAATTAGTCGAAAGATACCTGTCCCGATCTACCAAGTCAAATGTCCCTTCGGATGTCAGGGATGTAATACAAAATACTCAACTAAACAATGATAAAAGCGACCGAACTTCACACGGCTCTGACCCCACCGTCTCCCCTGTCCGGCAGGCCTCGTGGATCGGCAGTCTGATGCCGCTGAGCGCGCTCTGCGGCGGACTCGGCAGCGGCACCCTCATCGAGAAGCTCGGACGCAAGATCACCATCATGGGCACCGGCCTGCCGTTCATGCTGTCGTACGCGCTCATCGCCTTCGCGCAGGACGTCTACATGATTTACGTGGCGCGCGTGATCGCCGGTCTGTGTATCGGCACGCTGTCGCTGGCGATGCCCGTGTACCTGGGCGAGACCATCCAGCCGGACATCCGCGGCACGCTCGGACTGCTGCCCACCACCATCGGAAATACCGGTTAGTGGACATCACAACTCCGGCAGTCGATGTCCCGATGATTACTCCTTGACTTGGTTTTAATTCCCAATATAAAAAGGCATGTTTTTAAGGACAGTGACCTTTGCGACCACATGTCTGCCAAACTCATCATAACAAGTGAAAAACGTCGCAGGATGATGTAATGAAAGCAAACTTCAGACCAGCCATGCTCAGAATCTCACAAACACCGGGCCCCTTCTGCGCCGTCTCCGTCTTTGACGTGGGCAGTGGGGCGTCTGGTCAAGGTTCTTTTGGCTGACGCGCTCCGTTCTCGCTGTCCGCAGGTATCTTGGTGTGTTTCCTGGTGGGCACGTACCTGCGCTGGGACCACCTGGCGCTGTTCGCCGGCTGCATCCCCGTGCCGTTCCTGGTGATGATGTGGTTCGTGCCCGAGACGCCGCGGTGGTACGTCACGCACGGTGAGTCCTAGACACGGGTCGGGGCGCGGTGGCACAGTGCGGGAAAGCAGACAATTCTACCGAGCTATTCGCGCTGTTCACTTTTGTCCGAATTTGATGGCAGCTCAACGATAGCTTGAAAGATCAAATCGTGCTGTAAATGACGTGTTTGATATCTTCGCTTTAATAATAATGCAGTAGGTATTTCTGGGTTCTTCATCTCGTTTTTAACATGTGTTGTGTTGGGTGTATCGTTGATGGGTTGATGTCTGAGACTCGTGTTGACCGACCACTCCTTGTTCGGCGGCAGGTAACATGAAGGAGGCGGCCAAGTCTCTGCGCTGGCTGCGCGGTAAGGACGTGGACATTACCGACGAGCTGAACAGTATCACCGAGCACATCACGACCGCGCAGAGGACGCACACCTCGCTGCGCGACCTGCTCTCGCCGCACTACCTGCGCGCGCTGGCCATCGCCCTGGCGCTCATGTTCTTCCAGCAGATGTCGGGCATCAACGCCGTCATCTTCTACTCGGTCAGCATCTTCAAGTTCGCCGGCAGCACCATCGACGGCAACCTGTGCAGCGTGGTGGTCGGCCTGGTCAACTTCGGCGCCACCTTCATCGCCAACGTGATGATCGACCGTCTCGGTCGGAAGATCCTGCTCTACATCAGCAGCGCGCTGATGGTCGCCAGCCTGGCGGTGCTCGGAGGCTTCTTCTACCTCAAGGACATGACGAGCCAGACGGAGCTGGTGGCCGAGCTCGGCTGGCTGCCGCTCGTCTCCTTCATGGTGTTTGTGGTAGCGTTCTCGGTCGGCTGGGGGCCCATTCCGTGGCTGTTCCTCGGCGAGGGCCTGCCCAGCCGCATCCGCGGCAGCGCCGGCTCCGTGGCCACCGCCTTCAACTGGGCCTGCACATTCGTCGTCACCAAGACGTTCACCGATATGATCCATTCGATCGGCGCGCACGGCACCTTCTGGGTGTTCGGCGCGTGTACGGCAGTCGGTCTGCTCTTCACCATAGGATTCATGCCCGAGACGCGCGGCAAGACGCTCGAGGACATCGAGAAGAACCTCTTCACCACCAAGCAGGGCAGCATGCGGAAGCGGTCCTCCGTACCGGCTGAGCTGTAGACTGTCCGAGTCGACGGCGACTGCGCGGTGCCGCCTCTTCCCTGGTTCCGATCCATGTGATACGCTACAGTCAGGTCGCGAGCGAGCGCAACCGATGCTAAGAGTCGGCCGCCAATGATCTTGATGTGCGATGTTTTTATGGAGGAGAGACGCTCGAGTGTTCTCTGTTTGCCGCGTCCAGCGAGCGAACGAAGCGAAATGTTTGCGATATTGTACAAATCGTGGCGCGTTTGTCACCGAAGCGGCGATATCGCTCCCGCTGCGCCGCGTATACTGTATGTCATATTGACCCAGTATTGTGGCGATTGTGTATGTGTATGCTGTATATTGTATTTATGGATACAGCGACGACACGAATAATGTAAATATGTTAACATTGCAAATAGTGTCATAAATGTTATATGCCAATAAATCTATCGTTGGTTATTTATGCTTTACACATCTACCCTTTTCCGTAGCTCGGTCGATGACATGGCCCGGAATTCGGAAACTATAAAAAAAGACTCACAATATCATAAATACAATCGCTACACAGCACTCACTTATCGCTAAATAAAGCAAAAAATATAGAAAATAGCATAATGGGAGAGTAAAAAGAAAAAGATGTGCATTTCCGTAATGAATCGAAACCAAGAGGTATTCATGATCTACACTGCTACCCTTCGTTGGATTTTTCGACTAAAATGCATCTGATGCCCATTGCGTTCAGGCTGCCTATTACTCCAAATGCACCAAACAATTCGATTACGAGATATCGGCTCAGAGCATTTATAACCACGTAACAATAAGTCAGTGAATGGCATGTCCAGTGATTATAACGTTCTCACAACTTGGTGTGTAACCACTGGTCTCAGTTGACCGTTATCATCAGCCATACCTCGTAAGCTATCCTTCAGCTATCCAAAACTATCCAAAACTCGCAGAATGGACGGGTGAATATAATATTTGAAACGATTCACCGCGCCGTGCAGACGAAATATGAAAAAAGGCTTTACGAGACCACTGGTAAAACTGGCTTGTTTGTTTTGTTGGGTTGAACTCTTTAGGTCTAGCGAGATCATTGCAGACCCGGGAGGATAATACGAATCAGAGAAAGACCTTGGTCCGAGCGGACACCTTGGTGCGCCGCCAGGGCTGAGCCCATCATGTGGACAGGCCACCTAGCCCCCTGACGGTCACCGCACCCGGCTACGGGCCTGCTCCCGGGGTGAAGCCACCCACCCGCATGGGACAAAGGTGACCGTCCAGCCCGGAACAGGGGGTTGAGGTGTGGAGAAGGATTTGAGTATCCTGAGGATGGAAACGACGGAACGGAGAAAAAATTGGCTCACTGTTATCGGTCTTATGGGTAAGCTGATCTGGTGTTGACCCGAGTTATGTGGTCAAAACTCGCCTCGTGCGTTGCCATCGACCTACACGGTATATAATTTAGCTAAATGAGTCAGAACTTGAGGACTATTGTCCGTACGACGTTGCCTGAATGACATCGGATTTATGCGACGGTTAGACCGTAAGACGGACTCTGCCAATGAACGGTACATGCATTGCATTACAGAGAGCTGACGCGTATGCATTGCAGCACGAGAACTAACTTCTTGCTAGTCCCGACCACATATAGTAGGTTTTCTAGTAGTTATACTAGAAATTCCTACCAAAGTTCGTCCTACCCTTCACTCAATAATTACCCTGGCAGCACGAGGCACTTCTAACACCTGGCGGCGAAGCCGGGAAACTCACCCATCACTTGAGCTCGGCAGATGGCGCAGGTGTCGCACTCGACGTCCCAGCGCCACATGGCCACCGCGTTCCACTTCTTCAGCGCGAACATCTTCTCCGGCCGAGGGGCCTGATCCACGTCCATTGCGTCCGGGGTCACCTCCACGTTATTGTTGTTATTACTAGCCTCCATCTGAAGAGGTGGGGAGAGAACATGTCAGCATTTGCCAGTGATTCAGGGCAGCTTTACTATGCCATGCCTGCACCCTCAGACTAAAAGCTGGGTCAAAGAGGCAAAGACATGAGGGCCATATTGAAGAAAGAGAGAGAGAGAGAGAGAGAGAGAGAGAGAGAGAGAGAGAGAGAGAGAGAGGGAGAGGGAGAGAGAGAGAGAGAGAGAGAGAGAGAGAGAGAGAGAGAGAGAGAGAGAGAGAGAGAGAGAGAGAGAGAGAGAGAGAGAGAGAGAGAGAGAGAGAGAGAGAGAGAGAGAGGTGGAGGGAGGGAGGGAGCAGGGACAGAAGGTGGGAGGGAGAAGAGCAGAGAGTGAGAGAAAGAGATTAGAGAGGGATGGAAAGCAGAGGTAGGAGAGGGAGGCAGAGAGGGAGGGGAAAACAGAGGGAGAGCAACAGGAAAGACAGACAGGGACATAAGGAGGGAGAGGGACGAGAGGGCGGGAGAGAAATAGAGATAGTAGAGAGGGAGAGAGCAAGCAGCCAGCAGGAGAACAGAGAAGAGAAGTGAATCCTGAAAAGAGAATACAGTCAACTGGATATTTGATCTTAAAAGCCATCATAGCTCCAGATCACCCACTGACTTCTTCAGCTTCTCAGCTTGTGTTGGCTAACAGCACACTCCTAGCTTACTGTTAATGTTAAAAAATGGCTTTACCAACTAACTTGCAAAAAATGAAGGGAAAGAAAAGTTGGTGAGAACTCTTATGAACACCATGAACGGACAGAAACAGCTCAAGCTAAGATAGTGAAATTACACAGCTGACAGCAACATGTCTGGAGACTGGAAAATGAAAGCCTGGTCCTTGTTCATGTTAGGTCACTTTCATTTCACACTGGGTATACTGCACTCATCCCAATGATTCATGACTCCTTTCTGGGGACGCCAGTGAAAACAGGGCGCCGGAGGGCATATTAGTCACGTGACATTTGGAGCTTCTCCCCCTCTGTGGGCCTTATACATCCTAAACGTCACGTGTGAATTTCACGAACCTTGATCAAATCACCCCAGGCGCCCTGTTTTCACCGTCGTCCCTTTCTGGGCCTGCTGTGTTTGTTGTTAATATCAAAATCTGGGACGACGGTGAAAACAGGGCGCCTGGGGCGATTTGATCAAGGTTCCTGAAATTTACACGTGACGTTTGGCATGTAAAAGGCCCACAAAGGGGGAGAAGCTCCAAATGTCACGTGACTAATATGCCCTCCGGCGCCCTGTTTTCACCGGACGGATGGACAATTTTTAGTTATGCTGTTAGATATCTCAATCTGCAAGATAAATTCAAAATTCACGGAAAATTAAATGACCAAATTTCATGAAAATTGAAATGTTATGAAGCTGAAAAATTCTCTTCTCACGATGATTGAATTTTAAATTATTTTGCCATCTCAATCTTTTTAGAATAATGCTCAATGATTCTTACGGTTAGAAGAGTCAGACATTTCGTTTTTCTCACAGTCAATGACAATCCAAAAACAATGTAATAAGACCAATTTAGAACCGTATTAGAAGGTACGGTTGGTTTGGTTTAGAACTAAATTGGTTTAGAACCAATTTAGAAGGTAAGAACCGTAAGATTCTTACGGTTCTTACCTTAGCCAATTTAACTCTCTCCAGATAAATAAGATCTATTGAAGCTACAGGGACTTGAGGATCAGGATTTACTGCAAAATGGACCGCTCGTACCCCGCGGTCACGATCCGAAGCTGAGAGTTGAAATCAAATTGAAACAATAATAATTTTTGATTTCATTTGAATCAGCAAGGTCGTTCAATTTATGTAGCCAAATTCAGCACACTTTCGAAGGTCATTTGATTATGTGCTACCAAATCAAAGGGAAACCTTCAACTGGCATTTGGAACTCAAACTGGGCATTTGGAGCAGTAAAGGAATGTTGAGTTGGAATCGTGACTTTTCTAGGCAGCGATATTGTATTGCTTTTTATGTATTTAGCCTTACTTTTAAGATAAAGTAAGCATAGGCGGTGGAACGGGGAGGGCACCGGGGCACCGTGCCCCCCTTTGATTTTGGCATTTTAACATTAGCCCTATGGGCGTTGGCCGTTGCATGGAAAGAATGGGACCAAAAGTCGGCAGTGCCCCCCCCCCCCGTTGAAGGTGTTCCACCGCTACTGAAAGTAAGAACCTCAGCCAGTAAGAACATTTTAGTCAGCCCTGCACGACTAAGCCGTTTTCGTGATAAATCATGGTCCATGATGCATGGCCAATGGCCATTGGCCTGTGGCCATGCATCGCTAGCGGGTGCCCAGCCACTGATTGACCAGTATCGCGCAATCCCGACCCAGTCATCAGTCAATGCGGGATTACATATTGCTGGCGGAGCTACCTATTTCCCGCGCCCCGTTGGAGTCTGCCGAGCTACGCGCCCCGTTTGGGGGGGGCATTTTGCCCCCCCCCCCAAAGATATCGAGAACCACGCAACATAGCGACAAGCAGCAAACGATGCTAGATAGCCCCAACAGGTAAATACCTGATGACCCGATTTCATTGACCTCGGTCGAACCCATGACGTCACAGATCAGGTCAAAGGTCGAATTTTCACCGTTTACAGGCATTTCAAGAAATGTGTTGTAACTTGTAAAATCGAGTAAAATGCGTGCCATTGAAAAGCTTCGATGGGGAATTGTTCGGCAAACACATATTTTACTATATGAAGTCCCTGAAACCAGATCAGGGCACAGCTGTGCCCTGTTCTATTGTGACCCTCAGTGACCTGACCTCTATGTAGAGGTCAGGTCACTGAGGGTCATAATATGAAAATATCATGTGATGCATGTTTTATGGTCCATTTTACATGCCAAATGTGATTATGTAGGTCGGGAAGCCTTTGGGGCCAATTTAGGTTGTGTTCTGGTGAAGATTAGGTCAAGGTCAGGTCAAATTAGGTCGAATTTGAAACTTTATATTTTTGTATAAAATGGGTATTTATTCGATGCAGCTCGTCACGGGGAGTCTAATGGTGATCTTTGTTTTGCGCTACGTGGCCCAGGATCGCTAGAAAATGAGTTAGAAAATTTGAAGCCATAAATTTTGAACACTTTTTTCTATAATTTGGCCAAAAAAAAAGTATCGATCTAAAATTTGATGTATAGATAGAAGAGCGCAGAGACTATAAAATGTAGGTATTCCGTTTTTTCGTAATCCGAAAAGCTTTTGGGATTTTTTTGTTTTTTTATTTAAAAAAAAAATATTTTTGAGGGTCAAAAAAACTAAATTTTCAAAATTCGGGATAGTAGTTTTGTAGCGCCGTCTTTTCTCTACACGACCACACAAAGAACGTTGAAATTGCTTGTTAATTGTAGCTTTTATGAGCGTTTCAAGATATAATGTTTTTTGCTCATTCTTGCTCGAACATGACCTCAGTTTGACCTCAATAACTCCTAAAGGTTACCTAAGACTTGACATTTTGTGTGAAGGTGTCAAATTGATTCCCGGGAGGGTACCGAAAATTTGGCAGCGCTGCACGCCGCCGTTTTCTTGCTATTCAGGAACAACCACATGGGGGCCATATTGCCCCCCCCCCCCCCCAGCGAGGCGAAGGTTAATTGTTGCACTTCTGATTAGGAAATTGAAACGTGACGCGGTCTCCCTCACCTATGACCCATGTCCGATAGCTACACATCACAATAATTCACAAGCAGTTGAATCATGAATAAATGATTGAAAGAATGCTGAATGGAGAGGTAGGTATCTGATGCAGAACACCGCTTTTCGATCGGTCGAGTGGGAGTCAAGACAAGTAATTGTTTGTAAGAGGCCTCAAAAGAAAATGTGCACGGGGGTGCAAAATTGAAGACAGACTTTATTCGAATTTAATGAAAAGAGTGAAAAATTAACACAAATAGGTACACACGAATTGTTCAAAGCAAGTGTTGCGAAAGCTTTTGATATAGGTAAACGCGCTGACTTTCCTACTTATTATGTAATTAGAAAGGCAGACAGTAGAAGGTTATCATGTATTTATTTAAGTCGTGCATTAAAGTTTAGATATCGCCGACGAATAATTGCATGCGTACCTAACTGTGATTTTACTGTTAAAAAATAGCACAAGCTTCAATCTTAAATCTCACTGGTAAGCGGTGACTAAGTTCACTTCCATGTTTTCATCATCGCGACTTCGTCACTTTGCGCTGACCGTGACGGTCAGACTACCGCGCCGCTCATCCTTCTCATCCTACCGCTCCTCGACCAGGGAGATCCTGCGTCTGGGCGCCCCTCGCAGCGGCCCTCTCCTGCTCTTCTCACCGGGTCACGTGCTCGGGTACGACCCGCTGCTGAAGGTGGCTCGCTGGGTGTGTGAGCGCCTCGTCCAGGACGGTTCCGGCTCTGCCCGAGCCCACGGCCGCCGGCCCGGGTTCCGAGCCGACCCCCGTCTGTCCCCGCAGGCAGCCGCCCGACCGTTTGACCTGCGCGGCAGCGGCTTCAATCGTGGCCACCTGGCGGCGGCGGCCAACGCCACCTGTCGGCGCTCACTGCAGTTCAGCTTCCTAATGTCAAACGTGGTGGCGCAGCCGGCGGCGGTGAACGGAGGCGTGTGGCGGCGCCTGGAAGGTCGCGCCCGCGCCCTGGCCGCCTTAGGTCCGGTGTGGGTCACCTCGGGTCCACTGTTTGTGCCGCGGGTGGAGGCGGACGGCTCCGTGGCCCTGCACGTGCCTCTGGTGGGCGCCAGCCGGCTGCCGGTGCCCACTCATCTCTTCAAGCTGCTCGTGTACCACGGGAAGGGCGGCCAGCTCACCTCGGAGGCATTTGTGGTGCGGAACGGACCCGAAAACGGCGCAGAGGCGCTCCGGGAGTGCGCTGTCACTGTGGAAGAGCTGGAGCGACTCAGCGGTCTGCGGCTGCTGCCCCGGGTCCGCAGGAGGGAGCTACACCAGCTGACTGCCGCAGACTTGTGACCCGACTAAAACGAGACCTACCTTCATCTCTGCTGTTTACGGATTATAAAGTGCACTGTTCAAAAGAAAATAAATACCTGCACAATCTCTATTATTTTGCAAGATCTTGATTTTAATTGACCTATATAGAGCACCGGTCGCCAGTGTTATGCTGAGATAATACTTAAGTAGGTATAAACGTAAAATGCACTTGGTAATTGGTATTGGTAAAAGGAATATTGGTATATTGGTAAAAGTATATCCGATGATACAGTTTGTATCATGTATGCAATGCATCAATAGATTCGATTGCCATCAGAAAACAAAATAACCGCAGGGTTCACGAACAGCGTCTTAAGATCACATGTGGCGGGAATACACACCCTTGCCGTCAGGTCAGCCACCTCCCGGCGCTGCTCCTCGGTCAACGCGCCCTGTGGCCTCGGCTGACCTTCCGTGGCCGGTCAGCCGCAGCCGCTGCCGGCACCTCACCCACGCCGACCACCAGTCACGCCACGGAGAGAAGGAAGGATCTGGTGACGCGTCCGGCACGAGACGGGCGGCAGCGGGTGACGGGTCCGGCACGGGACGGGCGGCAACGACCTCGGGCACAGGGGGTCAGCGACCGGCTCAGCTGCACTGCTGTCAGCGACCTCAGACACGGTATTAAATGCATAGAGATCTTATATAAGATCTCTATGATTAAATGCACACAACACATGTATCAGCTCAGCGACTTCAGGTACGGCTACAGAAAGCTCTATTTGGTTTGTTTTAGCTCCATTACGTCGCAGGCCATATTTGTCAAGAATGAAAAATCGACCTTTGATTGCATCTACGAATTGTTTATAACTAAACAATTACATCTGTTTATTCTATTTATTCATCCATTCGGAAAATATCCGTATTAAAACTTTTTATGTGTGCTGAAATATGCAATTTGAATTATACCTTACGCTGCACATATTGCAAATAAAACTGTATTTATTCAATGCAGCTATAACAATGATGTCATGCAATACCTATATTTTCAGGCTGCTAGTTGTTAAAAAAGTGACAAGAAGGGAAACTGGATCCTGTTCACAGGCATGCTAACATTGGATGCCAAAAATATTTAGACCTATTCGTGGAGTTTCATACCATAAAATTTTACAAACTGCCTCAAGAAATGGGATATTGGAACATAGACATAAATCTAAATAAGTTCAAATGCACTGCAGCTTGTACTGAAACCAAGATAAAATGCTGCAATATCTACCCTACATTGCCATCGAACGTTCTTTATTGAAATGTAGACGTCTGCGTTTTAAATGCTTACATTCAATCTCTAACCTACTATAGGTATAGCATTCCTAAAATCAATCCGGTGAAGTGAGCTTGGTGTGCAAGGATAAAAGGCAAGGCTAAGGATATTGTATACATTATCTGCAAAGCGCATAAGATGGCACTACATGACACAAAGTGCACGGTCCTTCGCCCCTATGTTCAAACTAAACGTATTTTTTGTAATTAAACAACAATATTACACACACAAAAAACGCAAAGCTCTACACAGTTATCAGTAATTAAAATAATCTTCATAGGTAAGACAGCTAAATACGTAAGCTTCAATGAACTCTTATGCCTTGATCACGAACGGTATGCAGCAATATAAATTATGCACCAACGTCCGGGGTTGCGTAAGTCTATATGCGAGCCGTGGTATATGCGGCGCGCTTAAAATGAAGAGGTAACGCACCAAGTTCTCGGGGACCCGAGCCCGTTCTCTGTACAGAAGGCACGGCCAGGCGGCTTCCCTCGAGCCCGGGGCCCTGTTTGGTATTCTGCGGCTCGCCTGATCGGCAGTGTTGCAGCAGAAGTGTCGTTAGGGCTCCACACCTGGGCCCGATCTTATAAATGCCGTAAAATCGATTTGCAGCACTGGCTAAGGTTCAGCTACAGAAAACGGAGCTGCTTAATGCAAAATGGTTTTTACGGATTTTAGTCCATCGTATGTACGGCCCTCCAGCAAAAGAGTGGTTGGTTAGCCTATGTGTTTTTGGTGTAATAACTTTGAATGACAGAGATGCTCCTGTAAAATGACTCAATAGAAATGAGAGGAGGGTTCGTGCACACACTTCGGCAATGGTTTTCAACAGCCATTAGACGTATTCATCAATGCAGATCGCTTATTGTGATGTTGGCAACCAACCACTAAATACCTGGAGGGCCGTACATATATTGACGGTCTCATGAATCGTTTCGCTGACTGATCGCATTTGCCAGTTCACTGATATCACTGTAGATGTTAGCAAATACCATGAAAAGAACAGTACAGCGCTTACGATATAAGATTGGACCAACCAACGCCTGACGGTGCGTGTAACTTTTGTTGCCGTAGGTATATACGAGTGGTATAAATACACGGGAGTTCATGGGGCCGATCTCACGCGGGAGATATCAGTCTTCACTGTCCCTGCAGGCTGCCTGGCAAACAGGCTGACGGAGCCCACCAACCGAGTCTGCGTTAGCAAAGCGTCAGTAGCTATAGGACAAAACAAAACTCTTGAAATGCACATTGGCCTACATACTAAGTAGGCAACGTAAAAATTAAATAATAATATTAGCTCTATCATAACTCACTAACGCATGCAAGTGCATAACTAGCGAGTGCGAAAGCGTTACTGCAATATCACGGCCCTCATCCCTCGCCCGGTCATTTACTGCAGTGACCTTTGGCAAGCCCCGGATATGATCCACAGATGCATGTCGACCTGATCCAGTAAAGCCGCTGTGCCGTTGATTAAGAGCTGTCCTCTCATGGTATAGCACCATCGTTGATGCACCGATAGAGATAGTGTCGTGTGGAGCTGGATTTCTGGGTACTTTGGCACTTGGCAAGATCCAAACTTTTCTATGTGGCTTTTCAGACACGTTTGGATGAAACTCCGATATCACAACCTCTAGGAAGGCTTCCCAGTTTTATGTACGTCGTAGAATCTGTTGATTGGGTGAAAGTTGTGCATGTGGGGAAGGGCCACCGGCGGT